TATTTATAGATTAGACTTATATAATACTGTATAAGTTATATTAAATTATGATTCATAAACAGGACATTCAGACATTTGGATTTCATCTAATACTTTGACACATATTGATTTAAAAATTATTATTGCAACCAATGATAAACAAATTGATGTGCGACTAAAACAACAAATTGATATTACAAAAATAATTATATTTAATATTAAAAACAAAAATTCTCTATTCCGTTTATCTATAATTAAATTTATAGCATCAAGCAAAAACAACAAAAACTATGGTTCACTTTTCATCGGAAATACACCATAAAAAGCAATCTATTATATTATCCGCGTATTAATTAATGAAATAAATTTGTAGTTATTAAACATTACATTTAGTTTGAGTACAATCTTTCCATTTTATTGAATTTTGTTTATAACTTTGTTTGAGTCTAAAAATACAATATTCTGTGCGATATTTACAGTTAATTAATTGAGAAAAGAATTGCTTTTAACGAATAAAACACTTTTTTCGCTAAAAACCAAAGAAAATAATATATAAATAAAATACATTTGGCGTTAAAACAGAGAAGTATTTTTGGTTTTCGGAGATATTTATANAAAACCAAAGAAAATAATATATAAATAAAATACATTTGGCGTTAAAACAGAGAAGTATTTTTGGTTTTCGGAGATATTTATAGCGAAATACAAGGAAAACGAATTTGACATAAAAATTGTATGCATTAGTGAAAAATCAACGTTTCAAATGAGAATTCAATTTACAGTTAAAATAATTATATTTATTTCATAAAAACATCAAACTATTATTTTTCAAACAACAATAATTATGTTCACAAATAGATATCATATTATATTATTTATGATGAAAAATATAATCAACTAATAAATTAAAATCTTAATTAAAAACTAGAGATAAATTAGTGGTTATAATAATTAGTGAATAAAACTAACAAAGAGTAGAAAAGGAGCAAAAAATAAATTATAAACATAAAACATAATACCCATCAAAATGAGAACATAATTTACATGACTTTCAATTGGATTTGAAGACAAATGAATTAAGAAGTCAATGGAAGGGTTAGGAGGGAAAGGGAACTACATTCTGAAGTATACCATGTATTCTATCAAGTTTGAGAGTCAGCGATAGAATTGTAATATAAATCAAAATATAATCCATGAGTTTAGTAATTAATCTAAAAGTAAGGGTGAGCTGTAAAGGGGTTGTAAAGGGTTAAAAACCCAAACCCTCGCCCCCAATGGCCAGACCTGGTTTGAAATCATAAGTTTATTTCATGGCCATAAAATTTAAATTTTTCATGATTCGCGAACATTACTTTTATTACTCGTTAATGCCATATATACCGAATAGTGTCTAATGTCCTCACGAGTATTAATCCTCATGACATTGTCATGGGACACAGACACCGGCGCCGGCATTCAGATGGACACTTGAGTACCAAAATTCATTAACAAATTATACATTCAAAGTCGACTAAAGTATGCAAAATATAGAACTCAATAATAAAAACAAATTTAAACCTAAGAATTCAATACTAATTGCATGTACTCTCAGAGACTACATTTCATTGGCAACAAAATCGTAAAATAATTTATATCTTACGATAAATAAACACTTATTCTACAAAATTGTCGCTCAATTAAAAAACTTTAGTATTATTTGTTGGAAGCAATTGTTTATATAGATCATGGATTGTGTCCAAAACGGAATGCAGTGCTCAGTGTTTCTCGTTTTAAGTTGAAAAATTTAAACAAAAATGACTTTTGGTTTAAACAACTCATGAGATATAACTTTAAAATTAGAGAATATATTTGTATTTAAACCGATAATATTTGACGGTTTTGTTCCACAGCGAGTAAATTGTTTTCAGATCACTGTCCGGGTGTCCAAACAGTGGCGGTATAGAGAGATGATCGTTGGACAACCATTCCTCGATCTCTTGGTCGCCGACCGCCAGTTTTGGCGCGAAGTCTATGTGAGTGACGCCTATATGTCGGGCTAATACACCCGATATGTGGACGTCATCGACCCAAAAGAACGGGAACTGTCGCGAAGATGTATACAACTTATACACGACGTCCGGTGACATTAGAATACCCCAACCGGAACAGTATGGCGGGTAGTATTTAGCGGGATATTCCTAAAGATAGAAAATATTTTATTAATAAACAAAATCTTATAAGAAATGAATGGCAAACACGGGATCACACCTTAAAAGTAACCCTCCATTTGCTTCTCTGACTGCGTTTGGGATAAGGATTGGTAATGACATAACAATTGATGAGATTCTTTGGCGGATAAGTGTTACCGAAGTTGCCCTTCAAGTAGAAGATCAGCTGAAAGATGTCGACGAAGATGTCGTCATCGGTTTTAAACACATATTTGGCGTTTTGGCAGAAGTAGACGACCCACTTGAGGCCCATTATGTGTTTGTACGTGAGGTTCCTATAGCTATCGATGAAGTTGCCCTGAACCAAATCAGAGTATTGTTCGCTCTCTTTGATTAGACGCTTCTGGACGGACGTGTCGTTGACGGAGCCCACGAGGAAGACGACACGCATGCGATGGTCGCGCACATTGGCCTCATTGCCCCACGTCTGGCGAATGGCCGCCCGCTTGTCGAAGTTGGTCGGCGCCGAGTGCACGAACACCACCACAAAGATGCCGTCAATCATGTTATCGTCATCTNGTTTTGGCTGTTTTCTCATCGCAATAGCGATCGCAGTGTTTGTGTTCGCCATTCGTTGGGGAAGAAAGAAAGTCCACGTCTTGGAGCGGAACAACCCTAACATGAATTACAGCAATATTCCCATATCGCTGATACCCATTGGATTTCAAATGCCGGCGCCCAATACTACCACCACCACCACCACTAACACTAACAACCATCAGAATAATAGCAATACTTTTGAAAGTTTTCAAAATCTGTATAACGGCTCTAATGCCATAACCCCGGCTACTAATCCGTATTACCCGGTCTTTCAGACGTCTAATAACGGGGTGCCAGCGAATCACCAACATTTCATGCTAATCACCCCCACAGCACCTCCACAGTCCCCTATGTCTGCAATTCAGTGATACACACCATAACATCAATATTTGATAATTTATTGATAAACTATATATTCAATGGCTTTCTATTCGATGCACTCATCGCTTATTTAATGTGAAAATTGAAAATATTTCTTTGGAAATATCATATTTGATAAGCACTATAGAGATAATCTTATTGTGTGTTTCTAACGCAAACACTTACATTACTTCAGAAAGTTTTTGTTTTATACATCGGATATTAAAACTACATATTCATTCAAATACACACTACGAGTATATGTTTGAATGTTTGAGAACTGATATGAAATGCGAGACATATAAGCAAATATCAATGTGTGTCTAACATTCATGAGTGAAAGTTTGGATTAACATAAAACTTCCACTACTCTTAAAAGTACTAATTGTATGAACAAAATGGTTATCTGACTGACGGGACAGCAATGGAACCGCAGACTCGTTGGGTAATCATCCTAACCATCCTCAGTATAGTATGTTTCGTGAACTTAGTTTTGGCTTTTTTGTTGCCAAACACTCTCTGCCAAAACTTTATGTTTAATTGCGATGAACTGGACGGGAGTTGGATCTATTGGACAAACATCGCGCTAACAGTCATCGTATTCCTGGTCTTAATATTCCTCTTGTATTATGTCTTACGGATGAGAAGATTATGGGAATCACGGGAACAGAAACAGAGGCAGAGAATCGAAATGAAGCGCAGAATTAATGAATCAAATGTTAGGAGGAATTCATTTTCAGACTATATTCAGAGCAACAATCATATTAATGGCTAATTATTTGCCATTTATGGACTAATCAAATGCTATTCCGTTACGATTCATGTGAAAAGTATTTTTGTTTTATATTATTTTTATATTGCATTTGTTTTATATCACATACACAAGTATTGTATTTATGATAACTTATTATATATTTTTATTAGACAGACATTCAGTTCTTATCTGTAGTTTTCATATGAATTACACTATATTTTTGAAAAGTCATGTAAAATATTTTGAATGCTAAGTTTGAGCAAATGTTTTTCATTAATTTTAATGATTTATGTTTTGTGTGAATAACTGTGATACTATGAGAAAAGAATTTACATATTTTTCAATAAAAATTCAAAAAATGTTTTACTTATTTTTGATTAATTCCTGAAAGTAATATCAGAAATGATATCTTAAATGAAATATTCACTTTTATATTGAATATATACCGGTATTACTGATGTATTACATACCCAAAGCACTCACGAATGCAATACCTCTACGAACCGCTCCATTGAAGTGCGAAAAGCTTTTCCCTCTTAACACACATATACTTACAGTTATTATTATATGACTTCTCCGTTAAGTTAAGGTCTTAATCAGTGAACCAAATATACCGACGAAACACGACAACAGGTTTTCTTCGTAATTAAAAACTTATACAACAAAACGCGATGCAAAACACAAAAAGTGAAGTCATTTGTCATATAATATAATTATATATTTTATTTGGAAATATCTTACAAATGCCTAAATTTTTCATATATATTATAATATACTGTATATCATGTGCTCAACTCATACAGTCTTTTTTAAGTCATTTATTTTAAATAGCGTTTAAATGGATTAAAGGCACAAATGTTTAACACTTTTATGTCTCCACAGAGTTCTTATCAATTGAAGTACAGATTTAGGAGTTTTTTATTTAATTAAAAATAATAAAACATTAAAAAAAGAGATTAAGTGTTTTGGAAATGACAGCATAAGGGGTTGGCGTTTATAACTATAAAGCAATTGTTGTATTTATTATTAATATTATAAAAATCGACTAAAAACGGATCAATAGATCGATGAAAAGCTCAAAATTAATATTTTAAAAATGTTTTCCTAAATAATGAGTAAAATTTGATAATTTTCTCACTTCTGTTATATATCTCATCGACAAAAATAGGGAACAAATGAATGAAAATAATAGTAATCATTATAATTACAAATAAAAGGGTTACAAATAGAGTTAATGTTATTATAATATTAATTAATAGGTATTTAAGGCAACAATTTGTTTGTAACTTTTTTATCAATGTTATATAATCATATTTATAATATTATACACCTTACAAGTATTGGTATTACAAATGAAAATCAAATATGTTTTTAGGTTTTGTTTTTCATTTCCATATCCATATCAATATCTCCAGACAAATGAGAATTTCAAACTAAAAGTGTGCCAAAACTGTCACTCAGTTTTCATTATAATATTTAACAATCCATATGACCCTAACATTTACATACTGTTCGCATCCCTGGACTCTAAACACAGTTTGGTTTCATTTTCATAACAAATATTTATATCAAAAAACCGATAATCAAATGGGAANATTAAAAAAAGAGATTAAGTGTTTTGGAAATGACAGCATAAGGGGTTGGCGTTTATAACTATAAAGCAATTGTTGTATTTATTATTAATATTATAAAAATCGACTAAAAACGGATCAATAGATCGATGAAAAGCTCAAAATTAATATTTTAAAAATGTTTTCCTAAATAATGAGTAAAATTTGATAATTTTCTCACTTCTGTTATATATCTCATCGACAAAAATAGGGAACAAATGAATGAAAATAATAGTAATCATTATAATTACAAATAAAAGGGTTACAAATAGAGTTAATGTTATTATAATATTAATTAATAGGTATTTAAGGCAACAATTTGTTTGTAACTTTTTTATCAATGTTATATAATCATATTTATAATATTATACACCTTACAAGTATTGGTATTACAAATGAAAATCAAATATGTTTTTAGGTTTTGTTTTTCATTTCCATATCCATATCAATATCTCCAGACAAATGAGAATTTCAAACTAAAAGTGTGCCAAAACTGTCACTCAGTTTTCATTATAATATTTAACAATCCATATGACCCTAACATTTACATACTGTTCGCATCCCTGGACTCTAAACACAGTTTGGTTTCATTTTCATAACAAATATTTATATCAAAAAACCGATAATCAAATGGGAATCCAATTCTCGCGATTACAGTCCCATAGAAATCAACAGAAAAATATTATTTACAATTAAGTCGATCGTAATACTGATGCAAAAAATACAAGGTTTCTCTAAATACATATATAATCTTATAAAATTACTCTTTACTTATTTTTAAATTACATTCAATTGAGAGATAAATATAAAAAAGAGTCTTTGATAATTTGCTTTCGAAAATAAAATCTAAAAATACAATAAATTACTATTAAATGGGTTTCCAAATCATAGACATTATTGCATCGGTATTGCACTGGAAAATGGTATGCGTTTGATACAGTTATCTAATAAATGGCTTTATATCGTATGAGTTAATAGAAAAGGTGTTTTTGAATGAAATTTCAATTTTTCAAGTCTTTTCAACTTCTTTATGGCACTAAACCCTAAGCATTTCAAGTGAAGAACTCCTACCATCAAAATTATCGTATATTTCGCATCAATATTACTAAACACGCGCTCAAATCAGACAATCATTCACTCAAATCATAAAAATAACATTTTTCTCCACATTTACTATATTTACAAACAAAATGATCGCACAATAAGTCAATGTGTGGTATCAAATCGATTTCAACTCTTGTGACCATTTGCTTATCAATTCATTTATTTTGTTTTTTATCAAAAATATATAAAATACTCTCACTTTTAGTCTCAAAACCAATTTCTGGAGTAAATTCGATAAAATTCGATGATTTTTGGCTCAAATCTAAATGTCTTTTGATGTCGTTTTGTGTCTTTAATTTTCAATATTAAAAGTGTAACCAATAATAGGAAGAGCTTTGAAATGATTGCATTATATTCGCAATGTTTGCGTTCAGATTGCTGTACGAAATCGAGGTATCAATACATGAAATGGCAATCACTCTGCAGACCATTAGAGCAATCAATCAATGGGTGAGTGTTTTGTGGTAGAAATGATGGGGCCATCCGTTTATGGCAAATCATTAACAAGAGTTCGTTATAACAAAACTTAAAAACAAAATCACATCCAATTCATTAGCCAATTATTAGCTGCAAATTATTAATCGATTTATTAAAAACTCCAATAAAAACAACTGTTGTTTTCTTATAGACGCGTATAGATAATGGACGGCATATATATAATCAAAAGGCAAATGTGATGTACAATAAAAAGAGTCGATAATTGAGTTGTACTTATGTTCCGCACAGAGAGAGAAAAAACAAACAAAAAACAAATATTTTCCGCAAAAACTGCCAAAAAATTCCGAAACAATTCATACAAACACAACGGCGAGGAAACGAGTGATGAGAGGGATAACTGTTCAGCAAAAACACACTCCTCTCACCATATCTTAAGAGTATATTATTATTAATTATTACAGTATTATTGAAATGAGTGCTCATTTCGTTGGGCACACCAAAGAGCACAACAACAACACCGGTGAGTACTAAGAGGTGGGCGTCGAGCCGTTCTGGAGCTGATGTATGGGCTGCAGCAGCGAAGAGGAGGAGGTGGTGGTCGGCGACGACGACAAGTTGTTCACTAAATTAATGGACGCTCTGTTGGCCAGCATTTGCTGCTGAATGGAGGCGGCGCTGGTGTTGAGGCTCTGGTTGGCGTTGCGTAACACTGAGTACACGTTCTCCACTTTGCTTAACCGGTCGAAGAACGGTATCAAATCACTTAACTCGGTGTCCGTCATGTCATCAAACCACGAGGCCACCGGCACCTACACCAAGGGGAACGGGAGGTGTGTGTTAGTCAAGAGTAACTATTGGGAAGACATTGACAGCACTCACGGCATTGTCCGGGTGGAAGATATAAGAGGCGGGAGAGTTGTCGACAATAACCACTTTATTTAAATCCCTTCCGAGTCGACCCAAATCCTGAACAGCGAATAATTCATTCAAAAAACAACTCATAAATTATGGGCAAAATCGAGAGTAGGGTTAAACACAAACCTTAACATAATTTCCTCTATAAAAAACACACGACTCCCGGAAGAGTCGACTCCTGAATACTCCCCACTTGTCTAAGAGATCGGCGACCGGATCGGCGTACTGGACAGCCATACAAACAGTTAGACTATGTTAATAATTTTGGTAAATATGGTCTTACTTTAGCTAAACTGGCCGTAAATAAGACACATTCGTAGAGCTCTCCCATTCGCTGTAAGAACTCGTCGACGTACGGCCTCTTTAGTACATACACCTGATGTATAGTGCCGTCGATCTCAACAGGAACTATGAAATCAGCATTACTTATGGGCTGTTGACAAACGATATACCATTTAATGCGACATCAATTAAGATATGAAACGTCTGTGTCTTCAGACACGACAACTCACTTTGAATGAGGAGTGGACTAACGTCTCGTCCAAATCGATAACTAAACATATTTTATGCGAGTCTTGACTTTTAATGTTAGGCAACAAATACTTTCCCTGTGACTGATCCGTTCAGAAATGCAAACAAACATACAATTCATTAGCTTTTTAATCGCATTTTCCACTCAAATGTAATATTTTGACAAAAAAGAGATCGATTTTAAAATAAACAAAAAATTATATAAAATAAATAAATCGTTAAAAAGCGTCTGAAAAGTGAAAATATATAACGAAAATAGCTTCTCTAATATCAAGTGAATGTCAGCAAAATTAAAGTTTATATATAAAACGTCAAAAATGTTAGCTAATGACATCTAAATCCTAAATAGACTTAATGATAGGTGTGTATGATATAGGAATGGGATGTATGGTGTGCTGCATGTATGGGAATATACCTTAGGAAAGTACTGTCCGTTTTCCTCTGAGTGTAATGAGTTGTTGTGGTTATAGTTGGGCCGAAAACAGCATAAAAGTGTATTCAATATACTCTTATGCTTGGGCTTCTTCATGATCCTGAAGGCTATAATGCAAACACAAAAACAATTATTAATCCATTAGTTTCACAACCAATTTGTCAATACTTTAGATAACAAACTTTGGCATTAGATTAAGTGATTATTATAAACGTTAAATAGCATTCAATTTATTGCATTATATTATCAATTTCACTATATATTTAAGTCGATATTCATAAACTCCTATATAAAATACACACTATTTTACAAAAATTGTGATAAAACATAATAAGCATTAATAAAAAATTGTTTTATCTTAAAAATATTCAGTAATTTATCTGAAAGTTTAACACAATATAGACTTGCATTCAAGCAAGTCATATGATATCCTAGTATTTGATAATAATAAAAAACTCTAAAATTATATTAAATTAACGGCAAACCATGAAAACTAAATCCTATTTTTAAAATCACATCAAAACGTCAATTAATCAAAAGTAAAGCAAAAATAAAACCTAATTATCATACATAAACATAAATAATTTATAGATAATTACTGTATTGCTATCATTTCAATCATCTTATGTACACTTATTTGACATTTAATGCGAGTATAATTCATAATTAAAAGCAAATATTAAGCTAATCTCTCAACTCATTTAACACTAAATATTATCACCAATTGATGGACTCTTTCGCACCAAACAATTGCATTGAATACCAAATGACAGATAAATACTGTATTGAACTCTCGGCTCATTATAATACAAACACTGATTATTGCATTCATTAAATGCAAATCAATAATGAAATGCATAAACCATACGCTAATCACTTATTTACAGCACTATTACGAGTGTATAAAACAATTAATACTAACATTTAACTAATGAAAACATTTTAAAATATGAGTTATGGCTGTAAATATTATGAACGTTACGGCAAATGGCACTGAAATCGATAGCAAACAAACAAATGTGTAAATCAATTACACTTTCAATAAATAAAATGCAATTTCAATCGCAAACTAATTGCATAAAACGTGCCAAAGGTTTGCAAAACAAATGCCTATCAAATGAAAAACAAAATGCAATCAAAAGAGTGTAACAAATATTTGCAATCAATATATGCATCGCTTTGACACTCAATGCCTGTCAGTGTCTTAGGGGTGGATGTGGTGATGATAGTGGCATCACATCCAGTCACCACACTCTAGATATGTGGAGGACTGCCATTTTAGGCCATATAGACCATGGCATGAGTGACACACAGCCACAGCCATAGCCATATTGGACGGGTAG